CGCTGGCCCACGAAGCCCGGAGTACCCCCATTAGCCCTCTACAGGAGAGCCTGATACACCTGCTCCCCTGCTCATAGCATTGGCTCCCGACTCTACCGAGGTCTGAAAGTTTTGTTGGACAAATGATATATCTTGTCTAATGTTCCTGAGCATTATGGTTACACTATCGTGGATCTGCTCTCAGTTAAGTAGGTTAGATAAGTTTCAGCAGCGGTTAGTATCCCTACTCCTGTAACTGCTCACCGCCAGCCCCTGCCCCTGGCCACCGCGTGTCAGTGCAGCTGAGCCTCCCAGGGCCCATGGCTTGACTCTCCAAACTGAGGTCGTAATGAGAGTGCCCTTTCCAGGAGAGGCCGCAGCAGCTAGCGGGCGTTCCCGGGCGGTGCCAGCTCCCGGTCGGCAAGGAAGTGTGAGGGAGAGTGACAGGACAGAATTTTCACGGTGGGGTGTGGAATGGACGCGGCCAGTCGTGGCTGAAAGCGGGCATGGTGAGCATGCTGGCGGGAGATGCACCTTCTGGAAGACCCTCTGGGGAACACGTCTCTCTCCTGACCCAGCGGTTACAGCGCTAAGAGCCGACCCCGAAGTGTTCACGGGGTATCTCTGGACACTCACAGCTCCATCATGTGAATAACCGTGTGAAAAACTAGAAGCGACTGAGATGTCACGTGATATGGAGTTGGATTAAAACGTATGGAAACGTGCACACAATAGAAACGTGTGCAGTGTGGCAGAGTGCCACCGAATGAACGGCCACCAGCGCCAGATTAAGGTTAAAGGGAGTCTTTATGAGCTGGCCAGGGACTACAGTCTGGGGGGGGGGTCAGAACTGCAGCCCCGACTGAAGCTGGAGCAGTCTTTTTACAGGGGTCATTTACCAGGGGTTTCTGTAAGCAGTTACCGAAGCCGAATCAACAGGTTGATGATTTCTGAGGGGAGTGGGGTTTCCACGCAAGCAGTTCCATTGCTAAACAGAAGGCTTTGGGCTAGTTAGCAAAGACAGTGGCAGGTATAGGGTGTTGTCCGGATACGGTTTTCTGTATGGCTAGTACAAGCTATTTTCTCATGGGAGGAGCAAGCAGGCTTACAGAAGCAGACAGCCATGTTAGGGTGAGGGAACAAAATGGACAAACGGTTGTTCATGTGCAGGATCTAACATGCGGCCTTCCACACAGCCTTGGAAAGAACTGAGTGTATTTGACATGACAGTTACCTAGGATTTTTTAAAGGATTTTGCCTCGTATGCTTGCTAGAGAGAGACAGAGAGAGGTAGTGAGAAGTCATCCCCCAGGGGGTGGCCACACCATAATCCCTCCTCCTCCTGGCATTTGGGCTCACATGCCCAGCGTGATTTTCAGGCTGGGTCTGAGATGTGAGCCGTGGTCAACCACGTAGGAGTCCAGTGCCTTCAGCACACCACCTGCCGGCCCAGCGAGGGTGTATTGAAGTAAAAACTAAGTCGCAGAATGTTGTTCACAGCCTGCTCCCGTTGTGCTAGGCGATGCATGTGGTGTCAGGCATGTCAGGCCGTGTGAAGAGAGGCCTGGAAAGTGCCCTTCACTTCCGGACAGTACTCGCCAGGGGTAGGGATACGAGGTGCTCGGTGACTTTCCTGGCTTCGTCCTTAACAGGCATGCGCGACTTTACAGCGGCAAAATATGAGGGTTCGTTAGGGCATGTCATGCTCACAGCAGGGCCGCTTTGCTGCCCGCCTGTTCCCTACGTGGTCGGCAGAACTCGTGAGACAGCGTACGTGCTTTTCCATCGTCCCAGACAGGGAGAAGCGAGCCCTGGCAGGACAGTGAGTGACAGGAAAGACGGGCACAGCCGTCCGCAGCATCACCGTCTAAGTCATCGGGGAAGCAGTCCCAGTTTGAAAAGGCCGAGCAGTCCAGGGCGCTGGACACAGAGGGAGCAGAACACGCCGCTGCCCCGGGGCAGAGCGTGGACATGTGCCACCTGCCGCCCCGGGGCAAAGCGCAGAGAGTGGACATGTGTCGCCAGGACAGGTCCATGTCCAGCGAGCAGGTGAAGGCAAGGAGGACGCGAAGCGCTCCAGCACAAACCCTAGCCAAGATGTGTGAGTAGCTCAGAAGGACCAGCATTGAAAAGGGAATTCAGAACATCTTGAGACAGATGAAAATGGAACCAAACTTCCCAAAACGCGTTGCGGCTAGTGTACAGAGACAGATGTCGAGGCTAAGAAACGAGAAAGACCAGTGAAAACCCAAGTTCATAACTTAGGCATGGAAAAAGAAGCAGCGGCCAGACCCCACCCAGCAGAAGCAGGCAGTGGCCGCCTGGAGAGCTGCCTGGAGGGGAGGTGGGCGCTAGACAAGGCCGACGGAGCCCGGGGCCGGCCTTTGGGAAAGCTTGCCCGGGAGCCTTTCCCTAGACCAGGAAAAGAGAAAGTCAGGTCAGAAACGAGACAGCACAGCCGACGCCGACACACCGTGATGCGACGTGGATGGCGAAGAGGCAGGACTTCTGGGAGACCTGCCACCTGCCAAGACAGAATCGCGAGGAGACAGAAAGTCCAAGTGAATCGATAGCAAGTAGGCAGACTGAACCACCACTCAGAAGTCTCCCATCCCAGAAAAGCCAGGGTCTGATGGTTTCACTGCTGAATTCTACAAACGTGTAAAGAACTCATAGAAATCCTTCTGAAACTCTTCCTCAGAAGTTAAGGGAAGGAGTCCAGGGAAGGTGACCCTTTGCTAAGGTTCTGTGGTCCGCCGCTGGGACTGGGGTTCCTGGGTCTGGTTCCTGGTCAAACCTAAGGGCCGGGTGGCAGGCCCCTGTGATCCCAGTGACATGGGGAGGCTGGGGCAGGAGGAGCCTTACACAGTAAGACCCTGTTTAGAAGGGGAAGGGGAAGGAGAAGATGAGAAAAAAAATATATGTATATATACTTAAGAATTATTTATTTAGTTTTATTTATTGTTATTATTTTTTTAATTTGAGCAGAAAAAGAAACTAGGAAAGCAAGCGGTCCAGTCTGGGACCCAGTTGGCGCCTTAGCCACCACGCCATCTGCTGGCCCTGAGAACACCTGTAACCTTGTTTTACAAGGCCAGCCTTATTCCGATGCCAGAGCCAGACAGAGGCACTGCAAGAAAAGGAAATTTTGGACCAGTACCCTTCATGAGCACCGACAGCAATCCTCAGCAGAACGCAGCACTCCGAGTTCAACAGCACACCGAAGGGCCGAGCACTGCGAGAGGGGGCGCAGCCCTGGTTGGGATGGTTAGGGTACTCAAACGCGGTACCCACGAGGACAAAGTGGGGCCACCGTCTGTCTTATGAGTGTCTCCATAAATGGAGAGAATGCGTTGTATAAAATCAGTGCCCATTCATGATCGTAACTCTCAACATACCAAGTATGGAGTTAAGGGCTTCATCGTAATAAAGGCCATTTGTGACAAGCCCACAGCTAGCAGCTCCATGGTGAAAATCAGACATTTCCTCAAGATCAGGAAGAAGATGATGCCCACACATCACCATTTCTGTTCAGCGTGGTTCTGGAAGTCTTCATCAGAGCGCTCTGGGACGTGCCAGTGCCATCTCTGTGTGCACCAGGCTCCCCGCGCGCTCTGGAACGTGCCGGCGCCACCTCTGTGTGCACCAGGCTCCCTGCGCGCTCTGGGACGTGCCGGTGCCATCTCTGTGTGCACCAGGCTCCCCGCGCGCTCTGGGATGTGCCAGGGCTGCCCAGAATTCATCGTCACTTGTCTGAACTCTGTAAATTCATCAACAAAAACAAATTAAAAAGGATAGCTTTATAATTTTGCTTTAAAGGAGTGTCCCCAGCCAGCCCCATGCCCAGTGGCTAAAGGAGCTGGGCCCCACGTGGTCGGCCAAGCAGCTTGGACCCTGGCCCCAGCAGCTTGGAAGCACTCTGAGCACATGCGTAGCATACCCAGATCCCGACAGGGCAGAGACGTGGAGAAGGGACTGTGGCCTGACCGCGCCCGGTAGGGGTGCTCTTCCTCTCTTGCTCTGTCTCTGTCTCTCCCTGTGGGTCTGGGACCCAGATCTCTGGCGTGTTTTCCGTCTGTTTGCTGCTCCGACTTGTTATTTGGGAAGGTGTGAATGGAGGTGAGTGGCGCCGCGGGCTGTGGGTGCCGTGGGTGACCCTTTGGCACAGGCGGGATAGTGCCTGGCTTTGAACTCTGTGCGTGTAGCAGCTCACTGACAGCCTTGAAATCGTGGCGCCGGGGAGGGGACCTGAGGGGTCCCTAGTCACTGAGCCCTGCGTCCCCGTTGGCGCCATCAGGAACCACGGGTTGGCGTGTGCGGAGTGGAGTTCTCTCCTTCGGGAGTGCACTAGGGCGCCGTCAGAGATGCAAGGCCGCACTTGTGACCGGGGTGAAATTCTCATCTCTTCGTGGCTTCTCCGCAGCGGGGGGCGTTCTGCCTTAGGTTAGTGGTTCAACCTGTAGCGGCCACAGGGTGACTGCGTGGGAACATCTGGCCCCATGCGACTCCGCGTGGGCGTGTCAGGCTGAGCCCCCCCTGCTCTGCACCGAGCCTGCCCTCAGTTTGCCACACCCAAAGTGCCTGCAGAGACGCCACTGAGGGCCGGACGTCCTTCCGGCCGACTGCTCTGTGCTCTGCTTAGGCTCTCCAGCCACCAGCCCCGCAGCCGTCTGTGTCACAGGGCAGAGGCAGAGGAAGCAAGCGCCGGGGTCTTTCCTGCGGGAACAAGCGCCATCACGAGGGCCGTGGCCCTGCAGCCTTGCCTGTCCTGCCTGGCTCCCAAGGCCCCCTGCACCCCCATGCCGTCCCACTGGGTTAGGGCTCATGGGGGGCGGGGGCGGGTGCAGTGCTGTCCATGGACGTGAGACGCTGTGGCGTCCATGCGTGGTCAGGTCGTGGTCAGACAGCTCGGTGGCCATGGACAGGGCAGGGCAGGAACTCATGGCATCCTGGAGACGGGCGGCACGGGAGGCGCTCGGGCCCCTGTCCACGCTAACTTTCGCTGCTTCTTTTCCCCGCAGTGTCGCGTGGGAGCCCATGGGAGACGGGAAGAAGGTCGTCTCGCTGGCCGATAACCACCTCCTGCTGTGGGACCTGCAGGAGAGCTCCAGCCAGGCCGTGGTAGGTGCGGGCAGCGGAGGCTCCGGCCTGGGTTTTCACCTGGACCGTGGGCTGAGTTCAGGTCATGTCTGGATTCCAGTGTGTACAGAATTCTGACATTAAATAGGAAATAGAGAAGGGCCTGAATGAAGGGATGGAGTGATTGCGCCTTCCAGCTGACAGCTGCCTGGACCCCTCAGGGCCTGTGAGCTGCAGGGAACCCAGCCCTGGACAGTGACAGGCCCGCCGTTGCCAGGGGCATCCAGAGGAGTAAGGGCAGGTCTTGGGGGCGATTCCTCTTAATAATGGAGGGTGGTTTTTTTGAGAGATTTTTGCCTTAGGGCATGTGTGCTCACTGGGGAGAGAGACAGAGACAGTGAGAGGGAAAGTAACAAAGCCCCTCCCTCCCAGGGGGATGGTCATGTTGCAATTCCTTCTCCTCCCAGGATCTTGGGCACGCACGCCCATGTGCCAGTGTGTGTTAAGCTGCTGGGTCTGGGACTTGAACCTCAGTCAGCCTTGTGGGAGTCCAGTGACATAACCACTATACCCTCTGCTGGCCCCTTAGGCGAAGACTTTTTCTTTTTTTTAGAGGTTTTTGCCTTAGGGCATACGTGCTGGGAGTTGGCTGCAGAGCCGGTGAGAGAGAAAGTAAGAAATACCTCCACCAGGGAGGTGGCCACACCACAGTGCCTTCTCCTCCATCCTCTTCCTTGGTCCTTGAAACTCACCCTGGTGATTTTCAAGCCACCGGGTCTGGGACGCGACTGGTCAGCCACGCGGGGGTCCAGTGAGGTGAAATCACGCCACCTGCCGGCCCCGGTAACGGAGTCCTACCGTGTGCAGTTAAGACCCCGCTTTCAGGCAGGAGCCGTCAGAAACGCTCGCTCCGCACACTGGAGCTCTTCCCGGACCCGTGCGTCTCAGCGGCAACCCTCTCTGTGGGCCCGTTTGCTCTGATGTCATGGTTGGTGCCTGGTCCCTACAGAGCGGACGGGGGCGCCTGTGTCCTGTGACCGCTCAGCATCCCCTCTCGTCTGAAGTGCGCGTGCACACATACTTTGTACACTGTTCGTGCCCGCGGAACGTGGCGGACAGCTTTTCACTGACCTGGGGCTGAGCCACCCGCCGTCCCCGAGGGACCTGAGAAGGGTCTGCTGGGCGCGTCCCAACGATGCCTTTGGTTTGTCCCTGCATGCACGTAGCCTCCCCCGTGGTGCCTTCCCTCTGGGTGGGGGAAGTAGCGTGAACATGGCTCGCCAGTAACATGCGCTGTGGGGTTGGCCTTCTTGACGCGCCGAGTGCCGGTTAAAGGTGTGAAACCGTGTGGTCGGGGGCTCTCGCCGCTGTCAGTGAAGTTCAGAGTTGGCCTCTTGCCTAGAGCATCAGTAGTATTTGAAGAACAATGACTGTCTTTATTAAAAATGTTTGCGATAAAACATCTCCACACCTTGGAGGAGAGACAGTCTGCACAGACAAGATCAGATGGATGTTGGCAGCCCGAAAGCACGAACGTACCTGGGCATGTGGAGGCGGGCGGGGCCTTGCGCCTCAGCTCGCTCCGTCTCTAATTCCCGCTGCGCTGACCATGCGGTATTGGGCCGTGGGGAAGCCCAGTGGGGGGTGCAGGCAAGAAGGGACGTTTGAAAGCGGGGCACGCCCGAGAGTTTAAAGGGGGACATGGGGAGGTGAGTGCAGTCCCTGCAGCTCTGGTGACGCGTACCAAATGTCTGCACTCCGGCAGACACTGAAAGACTGGAAGGCAGAACCCCTGGAGAACAACCGTGGACACCACAGGCTGTGGGAGCGGCCGGGAGGGAGGGAATTACGGGGACAAAGCCAAACATTTAATGAACACAATGATGGAGAGTTACCTGCTGATGAGAGCGTGTATGGCGATAGCTTTGACGGGCCTAATATACAGTGCATTTATGTGGGGAAAACTCATTTTACACGCTGTAAACGTGTACAGTGATTGAATGTAAAGAAATTTTTAAGAAATAATAAAATAAATAAGTAAAACAAGACAGATGGGCCAGCCTGTGGCATGTGGTTAAGGTGGCTGGGTCCCACATGGCCGACTGTGTAGTTCGAGTCCTAGGCCTGGTGGCTTGTGAAACACGCTGGGTATGTGTGCGCATGCCTGGAACCCCACAGGAGGGGGAAGTGGAGGAGAAGGGATCGTGGATGGTCATGCCCACATGGTACCTCCTCGCTCTCCTCCTCTTTCTCTGTGAGTGTATGTGCTCCCTGGCAAAATTATGGAAAAGAAAGAAGAAAAAGGAAGACAGGAAGCTTACGAAATATTTCACGTCTTGGACCAGCCCAGGGACCACACCTGCCCATCTGTGGGGCAAAGACATCCCTGACCTCCCACCTTCTGGGGCCTTGGCAGGAGGCTGCGTCCCGTAGGACGATCCCCCTCCAGCTAGATTTCAGCAGAGCCTTCCTGCACTGGCGGAGAAACGTACATTCCCATTAAAATGCCAGGGTCACGGCAGGTGCCGGGAGACCTGGGGCGGGTTTACGGCGCTCACCTGTGTAGGGAGAGCGAAGACGGAAAGAGGCCCGAGGTCCGCCACGCCAGAGCTCGGCTGCTTCTCGTCCGCCCTGACTGGCGAGCACGCCCTGGGACGCTCAGTCTGCCGGAGTCTAACCTATTTCCTGCAGAGACCAGTGCTGTCCCCTGCCCCCAGACGTGCTGTCGGCACATCTGTCGCATCGCTCAGCCTGCACCGCGGTCCTAACCCAGAAGCCGGCTCTTGCCGCACCCGCAGGCTGGCTTCCCGGCCTCTCTGCTGTGAGGGCACCGCCCGCTGTGGCCGGTCTGATCTTGTGCTCCCCGCATCACCGCCTTTGCCATTTATAATCATTAGCAAGGCCCTGGGAGGTGGCTGGGAGCTTCTGCGGTCCCTAGGCCCCGGTTAAGGCAGGGGTGGGCTCCCTGCTCCGACGGTGCCCCTTCGTCTCCGCCTGGCAGCTCTCACTGGCCAGAGTGACTGGCTTCTGTCCAGGTGCAACGCAGCACGGCAGGACGAGGGAGGTGGCGGGGACTTTGCTGGCACCGCTGCTGCTGTGCTGGCGGAGGGTGGGGCGCGTTGCGCGTCTTGGCCCTGGCGCCGGTCAGGCTGCACTTGGTGGGATCACACGCAGACTGAGCTTCGGAACGGTGCGTCTGTCAGGGACCGCCAGGCTCTAAGACATACAGAGGATCGAGCGACCACACGAGAGGGAACTAGCAGCGATAGGCAGCTGCCGCGTGTGCCCTAGGCACGGACCTGCTGTCGTCTGGGGACAGGGAGTAAAGGGGCGGGACTTGGGAAGAGGGAGAAGCTGAGGCACCGCGAGCTGTTCGTTTACTTCGTAATTAAACTTCTCTCTCCGAAGTCAGCGAACGGCAGGCACCGCCCAGACAGGGACCACGTGGTGTACTGTCCCGGGTGTGGAGAAGGGGAACACGGACAACGGCCCTTCTTATTCTTCCTACAAGTAGAGGACCTTTTTTCTTATTTCTTTTTAATCAACCAAACATAGGTGTAAAAGCACGTCCAATTCTCCCACCCAGTGCTGGTACCTACTGCCCCGTGTACACTTCCGACGTACCAAAGCCCAGTTTCTGGAGCCGTTCTCTGAACCTTCACACTGCTCAGCTCTGTAGCTGCTCGGAGCATGCTGCTCGGAGCATGCGTCTCAGGGCCGGGCTGGTGGGGTGTGGGAGCCCCCGGCCCCACTGGCCTGTGTGTACACAGCCACACACTCGTGGGCCCACCCTGGGGGATATGGCCGCATGCCTGTGTGCCTTGGCACTTAGTGACCAGGCAGGACCCTCTTCTGCAGCAGTTCAGGCCTTCGGTAGCCTCCTGGGAATTCCGTTTCTGCCACCTCCATTGGACATCCCAAGGACGCACACTGACGGCTGCAGAAGACAGCGTCCCGCCCCCGCCCTGCAGCCATGTCCCAGCGTTGGTTCCAGTGGGCGTCATCCTCAAGTGGCATCGTGAGTGTGACAGGGTACCCTCCACTGCAAGACACGTGAGATGGTGCAAACAGGCAGCGTGTGATCTGTCGATTAACAAGAAACTAGAAAAGTGACCCCAGGGCTGACTCATTCGGTCCCCTGCACAGCCCGGGCTCTGCCACTGAGCCGCTCTGTTTTGCCATGTCCGTGTGTCACCGCTACCTTTCATCATGATGGCGAGGTGACTGCAGAAATGCCGGCCATCACATCCACACTCCCACGTCGGAGACGAGGGCAGATTTCTCCGTGCATTCTTCGGACGTAAGTTCTCTTCTGGAGCTGTCAGGCAGTCACATGTCTAGTCTCAGCCTGTCGCCAGTGAGACGACCGTTCCTCACGCTTGTCCCAGAGCAGTCCGCCCCGGGTGGTAAAGCGTTCACAGCCGTGGCACACGTGAGCCACTCCTACCTTGCAGCTCAGGGCACACGGGCTGGTGTGCACCTGCGTGGGCCCACACCTCTCCAGCCCCGCGCGTCTCTCCCTGTCCCCACCCTGCTGGCCTCCTGCCCCAGGGCCTCCGTCCCGCTCTGCGTCCAGGGCATGTGCAGGCGGGTGCTCTCGGTGGGGCCTTGCTGGCAGGAAGCAGGGCCTATGTCTCTGGGCGCCAACACCGAGGCTGTCCTAAAACAGGCCCTGCGGGAGCACTCTCCAAGCGCCAGCGCTGTCATTTTGCTCGTTCTAACGAGCACCTTTGTCACCTCCTGGCCTGAGTGGCGCCTCCTCAGAAAAGCTGTGCGGGAACCTTTAATCATAGCCTTCGGATCGGGAAGCACTGAATACTTCTCTTTATGCTGAAAACGTTACCGCGTGTATCAGACCCTGTGGAGTTCTTGCCGAGTTCTGTCCCCATGTCACCAGGAAACCAAAAAGTGTGACTGGTTAACCTTTGAACTTACCCCAAGCTGTCTGCCCTGAGTAGACCCTCCAACACGGGTGGTGGAGTCTCTTGTATGCTTTTATTAAAATTTCCTTGCAGGCTTCTCTGAACCGTGGGCACGAAGTTCGTTCCCGGGGAATCCTTGCGTCAGTGTGATCTGCAGGGCAGAAGCAGGGACGGGGCCTGCTTCCTCCTCCTGCTGGCCATGTGGCCCAGGAGTCACTCACTCTGTGCCTTGTTTTCCCGTCTGTGCAGGAAGGGGCTGGGCCAGGACGTCTCAGCTGCAGGCCCCGCAGTGCCACGGGGTGCCAGCTATCTGTCGTACAGCAAATGAGCACGAAGCTGGCCGTCTGGCGTGCCGGCCTGCACTGGCTCAGGTCCCCGTGGGCAGTGAGGACTCCAGAGTCTGGGCACGGCTCAGCTGGGGCCTCCGCTGTCTGAAGGCCTGTGAGGCTGTGGCCTTGGCCAGGGGGCTTGTCCTGAGGTGTGGCTGACCGTCTGCTCCCACACACCAATGCGGCTGTTGAGAGAATGCTGTTCCTTCCGGGCTGTGGGACCCAGAGCCTTGCTCCTCGTGGGCTGTCGGCCAGGGCTGCGCTTGAGTCTTTGCCACGTGGGCCTCTGCAGTCGGCAGCTCGCTTCGCCCAGGCCGTCCTCACACTCACAGGCACTCCTCAGCCAGGGTTTGTGGTGGGCAGAGGGCGGGGTCACTCCTGCCTCAGGCTGTCCTGGGTGCTGCCGGCCACAGGCCTCTGCCACCCCACCTCCCCCTGGCCGCTCGTCCTGCCAGGTGGTATTTCCACCTGCTCTGCACCCTCCCTCCTGCTCTCCAGCTCTGGCACCTGCTGCTGCCCCCCTGCCCAGCTCAGCCAGGCCGCCTAGCAGATTCTTCCAGCGTGGGCCCACCCAGCCCGCTGCCCGGCTGTCCTTCGGTCCCGCCGGGCGTACCTCCCCACGCCCACCGAGGCCGGCTCATCTGCTTGCCCCCTCTGGGTAGGCCGCCTTCCTGAAGTTGGAACCTGGCTGACCAGCATCTGCTCTGACCTGCTGCTTGTCAGCTCACATTTTTTTTTTTAAGTTAATATGATTATTCCACACAGGAGAGAGAAGGATACAACTCTTCCTACGTGCCCCCCCCCCCACCCCTGCCGTGGCGGGCTCCGACTGCGACTGCACCCACGCATGCCTGCTGTGCTCAGGACAGTCTCTGGACGGTCGCCTTCCCGTGCGGTCAGTCTCCCCGGGTGCTGTGTCGCTGCCCCGCCACCTGGCCCCGGTTGGCTGGTTCCTTTTTTCTGTACAATCATTTCATCTTTCTGAGCCTCGGTCTCCTTGGCTGTAAAAGGGTGCTAACGTCCCTGCTCTCGCCACCGCGATGCTCCCCGCGGAGGCGAACACGGCACGCTCGCAGCTCCTGGCTGTGGTGACGGAGGACGGGCTCCTCGGTCCGGGAATCTCACTCCTTTCCTTTGCTGACTGCCAGAGGGCATGTGCCCCCAGGTAGAAGGGGAAGTACCCGACAGGCCTGGCCGTGCTGCAGTCCCTCTCCATTCCTCCATCCTGCCAGGGCTGGGGCACACACGCACAGCCCATAGGGCTGGGACTTGGACCGTGGCTGGCTGTGTGGGGTCGGGCTGCCTTGGCCACCAGGCTGCGGGGCCACCCAGGCATCTTCTTCCTGCTGCCTGCACTGTGCCCTGGCACGAGTGGGAGCAGCAGGAGCACTGTCTGGGAGGCCGCCCTCGGCCTGGCCTGGGCTCCACAGGTAAGGACTGGCGGCTGGCTGCAGGGTGACTGGTGACCGGACCATGCGCTCAGCAGGTCACCAGCTCCCTGTCCAGGCGTCCCGAGCCGTGGGTGAGCCACGGCGTGGAGCCGGCCTGTGCTCGAGGGCGGAGGCCACATGGCTTAGTTTGCTGCTTGGGCTCTCTCGAGTCCCGAGTGGCTGGAAGTGTTTGCAGATGCACAGCGCTCTGGGCGGAGGAGCCCTGCTGAGGACCCTGCCGGGGCTGTTGGGCTCAGGGCAAGCCCCGTCCACCCTGGAATGGCTCTCTGGCATCTCCCACACGGGCTTCCTCAGGAACCAGCTGGCTCGCTTCTCTAGTGGACTTGGAGCACTGGTGGCCAGGCCACCTAAGGACGTGGCCTCGGGTCCTGGTGTCAGGGTGGACTAGTATGTTGACAGAAGCTGAGTCTCAGTGCATGGCCCTCAGGGCAGCCAGCAGCATGGTGGTTAAGGAGCTGCACCCCACACGGTCGACTGTGCTTCAAGGCTTGGGCCTGGTGGCTTGAAAAGCACTCCAGGTCTGGGGCCAGCAGGTGGCTTAGTGGTTAAGACTTGACTCCCACAGGGCCGACCACAGTCCGAGTCCCGGACCTGGCAGCTAGAAAACCGCGCCGTGTGCGTGTGTACCCAAGATCCCAGGAGAAGCGAGCAGCAGGGGTTGCAGCGTGGTCGTCCTCCCTGGGGGTGGGCCCTCACCCCCCTCTCTGTCCCTGGCGAGTGCATGCGCACCACGGCAATCCGAGAAACGAGAGCAGTGCAGGTACCCGTGGGACGTGCCCAGAACGTGAGAGGAGGGACGAGAGCCTGGGGGTTCTCCTTCTCCCTCCACCTCCGTCTCTCTCCAGCAAACTCAAGCTCCCTAGAGCAAACAAACAAAAAAAAAAACAAAAATAAAAAGCCAGAATCAAAATAGACCCTCAACAATGATGGCACAGTCTCTCAGGCTTTCCGGACCCTGCTCTGGGCGTTCTCGCTAACACGTTCATTGTCCCCGGAGAGCACTCGTCAGCCTCGTGACTAGGGCTTCAGAAACCAAAATAGCACCTGTGAAATACTGCTGGACTGTTTCTGACCCTAGAGGGGGCGCTACGGGACACTCCTCCCCTGTCTCGTCCGTCCGTGTGGGGGCTGGAAGGAGAAGCCACAGAGGAGCTCAGCCCGCGTCTCCAACACGTGCTTCGGCGCCGCGGAGCCGAGTTTAGGTTTCGACGTGACGTTGCCTGACTTTCGTCCTGTGCTAACTGTCCCATTCCCTGCTGGTGAAGGCTGTTCTGGCCTCTTCCCGAGTGGGCCCCCTTGCCGTCTGCGGCCTAGAGTGGAGGCCCGACGTGAGCTGCTGCCCCATCCCCTCGCCCTGCTGCAGCCCTTCCACTTGCACCTACGGTCTGCTCTGGCAGAGCCCCGCCTTCCTCCGATCCAGCCGCCTGCATGCACGTGCCTCGGGGGTCCGTCCACACCGAGCGTTTCCACGGAACCATGCTCCCACGTGCCGGCCGAACGATCGCACCGTTGTGAAAAGGGCATCCCCACGTGCCTGGTGCCCGGGGGCTGTGGCGCTGGCAGCAGGAGGGCAGGCGGCCGGCCAGGAGCCATGCAGGACCTGTGGTTGCCCCACCCCACTGCCACCCCAGGCCGCCTCCGCTTCTGTGATCGTTCCCTGGGCACCGAGGTCCTCCCCCAGGCGTGACGGGAAGGCTGAGGGCCAGCTCGCTCTCCTTGGCTGCCTGTTCCGTGGCGGTCACATCCGGGGCTCTGAGCACCGTATGTCCCGCCCTTGGACTGGATGACGTGGCAAAGGTGAGCAAGCGAGACACTGCAGTGTGCGTGGAGGATGGGGCAAGGCCAGGCGAGGCAGCATCGGGGTTCAGCCACAGTCTGACCTCAGCATTCGAGCTCCTTCTAGACCTGGAGCTCTGTGTGCTCGCCAACTCCTGGACCCTGGCTGTGCCGCGGTGCGGTCCTGGGCCCCAGCTGTCCATGTCCCGTGAGCAGCTGCTGCGTGTCCGCGCTCTGCAGGTCCGCGCCAACACGTCCCCATGCCCTGGCGAACTCGCCGTCCTCCAGAGCCCCAGGCCCTTCTGGTGGCCGCCTCTGTCCTTGCCACACGCACCCCTCCCCTGGTTTAGCCCTCGGCGTCCTCAGGAGCCGCCCTTCCTCTCCCCACCTGTGTCCTGATGGCCCTCCTGTCTGGTTGCTTCTCCCGGCCACCTCCTGCCAGTAGGAGCACAGTGGGCACGTGTGTCCAGGCCCGGGACCAGCCCTTCGGCCTGTGTGGAGAGCACTGTCTCCTGGAGCTGCTGATGGCGGGATGTGTTTGCTGATGGGGACTTGGAGACAGTTGCCTGGCAGCCTGTCTAGCACTGCGTGGCCTGGCCTACCTTGCTGGGCCGTGGCCATGCGGCCTCCCCAGGTCCCTCTCTAAGGGCTCCGGAGAGCACAGTTGGCTGGATGTTAAAGCGATGATGTGATGATAGGCTTGCACGCTGGGAGGACTCGGGTCGGGGGGGTTCAGAGACCACCACCGAGGTTGGCCTGGGCCGTCCCTGCTGGAGAGGTCACCATGCACATGGGTTCTCAAACCCAAGAGGGAAAGTATGGTAGAGCCAGCCTGGCGCTGCCCTGTGGGAAGTCCTGGGGGCACCACGCCGCCCAGGGGGAGGCTCCAGGGGTGCGCTGCGGCCACAGGGCTTCCCTGCAGGCTTGCACGGCTGCGTTTTCTGCAGGCAGGAGTTCGGCTTCGCCCAAGAGCTAGCATGTCCTCCCAGCTCCCCGGCCCGCTGGGCGTAATTAACCTGTAGGGAGAGGGTGTGGAGGGCCTCCAGTAGGGAGGGGCGTGGAAGTGCATCAGCGTCCTTGAGCAGGTTCGGTGTCTGCCCATTTGGCTGCCCAGAACGCTGTGGGACGTGGCCGGGTGTCCGTCTTCGGGGACCTGGTGCTCGCGTCCACCAGTCCCCAGATGGCTGCTCTTCACTGCAAACACGCTTCAACAGAGGGCTATTAATACGCCTTCTATTTTTCGCTGTGTTCAGTTTTGTGCTTTTTTCCAAATAAGGTTCGAACATTCTTGCCTTTTAAGGGAAGAAAACAAAGACAGAACTTCCTAATTATTTGCGATAATTATTTTCAGTACCATCCTCTGAGTGTAGGATACCCTTTTGAATAGAGTTCTAAAAAGGGTTTCAATTCTTCTTTTCTTCTTTCTTTGAAAAACATCACGACATGCCCAGCTGGCCAGCTCGGCCTCTCTGGAGGGGAAGGGACAGCTGAAGTTTACCTCGGGGCGGTGGAGTCCACATCACAGCTGCACCCAGGTGGCCACTGCGAACGACACCACCCTCCGTGGCTGGGACACTCGGAGCATGAGGTCAGTGGGAGTGGGAGCCTAGGCCAGTGGGACCCACCCTCCCTGCCTTTCCTCCTCCACGGAACACAGCCACTGAGATGACAAAGATGAGGGTGAGCCGCTGCATCCTGGGGTGTGTGGTTGGCTTGTTTCATCGCGCTTCCTGGGAAGTCACTGGCCCTGTGTCCCTGTGCCTGGCTAGCCAGCACGCCCACCGCATGGAGCTGTGGTACCCCGATGGAGTCCCACACCGACATGCCGTGTCAGTGGGGATGCGTAGTGACAGCAGGCCAGGGCTGTTGTAACACGTCCCACGCGAGGCGGTGACCACGGAAGGTCCACTCCCAGCTCAGCCACTGCAGGCGGACAGCGGTCCCCGGTTTAGCCTCCGCAGTGGGCTGTCTGCAGCCGTCCCCCTCCAGGAGCCTACCTACCGGGTAATCACGTTTTGTCATTTAAGCAATTATACGCAGCAACCAGCAGCCCTAATGGAACAAATAAGAGCGATTTTTCTGTTCCAGTTGTGATTTTGATAGGCAAAGGAGTGATGGCGGCACGTCTGTTGCCATGGCGATGGAGGCCCGTGCGAGCTTTTTTAAGATGCAGTTTATCCCCTCAGCTCACCATAATTTATCACCAGCTGAAGACGGATGTCATGTAATAACTCGTGTTGCTTCCAGGGTGGGGTTCAACTTTAAATCCAGTTCCGAGGCCCCTCTGAAAACGCCGGCGCTAGTAAATAACCAGTCGCCATGTCCTTGGCCCGTGCCTCTCTGAGCAGGGGCTTCACTCGGCCTCCCGATGAGAGGCGGGGCCTTGGTGGGTGCCCTGCCGGAGCCCGCCCAGCCCTGTCCCGCAGTCATCCTTGCCTCCTTTCTGTTCTTTGAAGGACGTGAGTCATTTCAGTATCTGGAAACAAAAGACCCAAAGGTTGACATTACAGACCGAGAAAGGACAAAGGAGGCCGGGGGTGCTGCCCTGGCCTATTCTGCTGGGTTAACCCGACAGAGCTGAGGGAGAGCCGCGTCTCGCTACCTGCTACATGCCCTTCTACGAAGAGTGCTGGCATTTATTTAGCCAGGACGCCCTGAGCGTCTGTTCTGTAACGCCCTCTGCCCTCGTGCCAACGTCGCTGCCCTGAGAGCAGCCGTAACCCCGGTTACCACTGGCCGCACGTGGGACTGGCCAGCCACTCCCCAGGGGCTGCTGCCGACTTAGCCTCCATCCTCTGCCTCTGAACGACCTCAAGGTCTGAAGTAACCTATTTTAGGGAAGAAGAAATTAGGATATTGAAAATGTGTAGGATATAAAACCAGAAGTGACTTAGGCCTGAAAATCCAACATGGGGGAAGGGGGCAGGGCCGAGTGTGCCCTGGGTGAGAGGGGCGCACAATGGGCCTCCCATCCACAGATCCAACTGCAAGGGCCACTCAGGAAGTCGGTGATTGCAGGGAGGTCTGCGTTCCACTGAGTGGGGACGGGGCAGCGTGCGGACAGGGAGGACCCGGCAGCATGGGTCCCCGACGCTGACTGGCGCTGGCCCTGTGCAGCCCGCGGTGATCTGCCGCTCCGTCCCAGGCTCACAGCAGCCGCAGGAGCCGTGAGGGCAGACTGTTGAGTTGGGGCCATCAGGAGCAGCCTGCGGCAGTGGGCATCCGGGTCGGCGAGGCACGTGTGCACTGTGCCTGCACGCGTGTGTGTGCACATGGCGTAGTGAGACAGCCTGGCTGGCTGCTAGCCTCCACCTCCTCTCCTCGTCTCTAGGACTGCGGCTGACTGGACTGTCCAGTGCTGACACGCCCAGGCGGTGTGAGCAGGTGCAGACCAGCTGAGCTGAGGCAGTTTCTCCTGATACCAGCGTGGCCGTTCATCCATTCTGCCTTCTTCCCTTTTTTTTTTTTTTTTTCCTTTTTTCCCCTGTATCCTTCCACACATCTCGCAGTTGTCCTGTCCCGGTGT